TATAGATGAAATAATTTTCTCAATTTCTGACAACAGATTCTATGATGTCATACTTTACCCATAATCCTTTGCTTGAGAATCAAGATGGCTGACTACTTATTAACGATGAAAAGTTGAATATCTAGAGAATGAAAACTGTTATAAACAAGTGTAAATTGCATTCTCCTACATTTGTGGAGCTTTTTCTTTAGGGTCATTATGTTGTTTGGATTGAGGTTCCCTTTAAGGAAGTGCCATAAACAAATAATGAATTACATGATATTCAAATCTCTATTATAGAATGCTATAACACCAATCACGTTATCTGGTATGTTATGTTGCAATGATTTTTGTTTTCATTCGTATAGGCCACCGAGGAGAGATGAGTTGTATATTCGGAAAATGAACGTAGTGGTATATACACGCTATGTAGTCGACCATAATGTCTTTACAAGTTCTCCATACAACCGCTTATTACCACTGATCGACAACAGTGTTAAAAGTTTAAGTTTCATCACTTCCCATTCTCTCCACTAAATTAATGTATCAGGTTTCAATAATACAATTAAATTGTTTGGTGACAATGAATATACTGTATCAAACTTTCTTTGTCACGTGTTCCATGAATGTTCAATATATATTACCTAATCATAGAAATACCTGATAGATCTGGGTCAAAATTTCACTGCGATTGTTATTCGGTTACCTTTTTGTTATTTTTCTTCACATTACAATTATAAATATACGAAATAGAAATAGAATAGTTGTTAGATAAGATCACAAGTTTGACGCAAATCTCAAAGTAATCTATCGACATTGTTAAACAGTCTCCATTATTAGTGGTCTGCGCAGTCAGCTAATTTTGACCATTTCAATATATTAAATTACTAATGACCTGATTGGCTGAAATACAATTAGGCATTAATTTATACAAATATTGACCCGGTCAAGGTCGATATAAAAATGGTGAGAACATTGTTGACATTGATAACGCCTCGATGACTACTTTCGTCGGGTCGACAAATATGTATATTGATAGCCGCAAAGGTCAACTGTTGTATTATTACTCTGAATAAAACTTATCTTTTATACCACATCCTAAAATTCCCCTTTTTAAAATTGTTCATGTAGTTATGTTGAGACATTTTTTGTGGTAATATTGTATTTTAAATATTAAATAATTCTTTCCAGCAGTACTTTTATAATAATAATTATTATTATTTTTATAAACAAGCTCTGGGCGACATTTCGCACGATGACTTTACATATGAGAACAAAACAGAACACTTGGTACACTCATTCAAAGCCAATAAAACAACACGTTTCAATTAAAATTCACATAAACGTGCAATACAATAGAGGCGTACAATTCCTTGACAATTATACATCGTTATACAAATTCTTCAACACCGTGCTAAATTCAAGTGACGTCACTTGCTACATTTATTTACGCATTGCGGCGGCAATACACAAAACGTTCCTGGGACTGGAACAAACATGCGAATGTGATTGGCTGCTATTGATTGAGGGGTAATGAAATATTATTTTATGTCGAGTGCATATCGATATAGTCGCTATTGGTAATGTGTTTATTGTGTTAAATTTGTGATCTTTTTGACGAAAATTTCATTTGAATTGTAAAAAATACGATAAAGAATCTGCTCTGTAACTTTAGGTGTTTAGTTTTGATACTCCTCTCAAATATAAGAATACATTGGACATCGAGATTACGGGCACATTGAAATAAAGTGATTTAAAAAAATCACACAGGTATTCCACTCAAATGGCGTTTGTATATAGGACAAAAAGCAAAAGATGATGTTGGCTGGCGAATTTGGATCGATTTGATTCAAGTTCAAGTAGTAGGACAATCAGAAGATTATTGTCAATAGATATGCACATCGATATTTCGCGGCGCGAACATCTGACAATATTGTGTCAGTTTTAATCGCTGGTGACACAAATGAGACGAACAAGGTCATTCAAGTTGGGTATATGACACTATATGGCCTCAAAAATATTCTCAATAAATACGTTGAAAATAAGATAAATATCTTTTTGTGTAGTTACTGTTGTCCGGGAACTGTTGTGTCAGGTTGTTACACCACAATGTAGTGCTTGCCACTGAGACCACAGACATTCAAATCACAATACCGCACGACACGCTGTAACTGGCTGGCGTTACGGTGACATATGTATAATGATAAATAATTCAAAACACAAAATCTGGCAATTTTCAGTCGTATTGTCGTATAACAGTACTACTTTTCAAATATAACCGCGAACTATTGCCAGGTTGAACTGAATTATCATTGATGGCGAGTTCATTCTTCATAAAATACCAAGATGAGGGGACGTTGTGGGTTATACATTGCACAAATCTTTGTTTTGGGATAATAGAGCATAGTTCATAACGCTTCTCTCTGAGTTTTGTCGTAAAATTTCACACAACACCAAGTGTTGACAGTCACTAAGAACAAACAATTTCAGTATCGCGTATTTAAACAATTTACGCGAAGTTTGTCAATTGAATAAGGTCAATGTCATAGAAAGATAATGGAATCACGTGTTGCACTTTTTAAGGTTTGATATTTAAATATCGGGAGTATAAGTATAGAAAACACCACGAGGAAGACGAATTTTGTGAGAACGTAGCCGCAATGGTGTTACCTATAATTAATAAACCGGTTGTCCAATTTCAATTAAAAAGTACTGGGCAAGGTCAACATAATTCTCTGTCAACAAATCACTTTCTAATCTATTCATACTGAACACTCAGCAGCTAGGACCACACCTGCCTTACAACATCACCGATTAAAATAAGTTCAACCTGCCAGCTGATTCAAAGTTTGCAGTGGAAAATTACGGCAACTAGCTTAATGGGGACAATCAACAGCTACGACGCTGTTACTGATTAGCTATCGCACTGTCTGTCGCTTGGCCGACGTCTTAATTGTGGACAATTACATTGGCAGGGTCATTGATTTATTGTCTTATTGTTCATGTTTTAAGAGACACGAGTAGGGTTGTAAATATGATGTGAAGTCACTCTGCTAGTTTACCTGTTTTCTAGCAACGAAAAAAACAGGATGAGCCAGGTCATGGCTGTCCAACTGTGATTGATTTAGATGAAATACAGATAAGCTAATATGATGATTAACTACGTTGAGTATAAATCTCATCTGTTAACTGTATTTCGTTCACTCCGTCTCAACTCAGTGAACCGTGATCATGAACCGTTTTTCCGTATTAGCGCTCATCTGCCTTTTCGCCTTGACCCAGGGTAAGTGAACTTTTCCACTGTGCAACGTCAATTCATGCGAACCATTACAAATCATTTATAATATTTATCGTATTTCTTTCAAAGCATTTGTAACACCATCCACCGTCTGATATTTATTTCGCTTTGTGCTACGTAGGTGCTGGCCTGTTTGATGGCAGCATGTTGGGCGAGCTCGAGGGAGGCGAAGATGGTGGACTCTTTGACGGCGAACTAAAGGATAGACCAATACTTCGTGCCATGCTGATGAAGAAACTTTTTGGTCAAGATGAAAACACCGGTGGTGCACAGCCACCATTTCCACTCATCCGTGCCATGATGTCGCAGAACGCACAGATGCCAGTACTTCGTGCAATGTTAGCACGTCAAATAATGCAGGTAGGGGATTACATGTATTCTATTTTGAATTTTATTTTGAAATTCAATGAAACGAACTTAACGCTGATTGGATACGGTGATCTTTATAATTATAAATTACACGTAGGGATAAATAGTCCCACAAAATATATCTATAAACTTCAATTTCTATGAATTTGTATAATATTATTAACATTGCAATTTTATCCCTTTTCTCTATTTTTCGAATTAGGGAGGCCAGGTTCCACAACCATTGTCTCAAGATGAGGGATTACCAGGTCCATTGCGTGCAATGATTCTGTTCCGTTTGGTTACACCTGCCATTGGGAAAAAAATAGTTGAAGGAATCAAAGAGAGGAAAGATGCCGAGAGAGTATACACCTTCCAGACAACTCTGGCTTGTGATTGCGCTCTCAATTACGTGTAAGTTGAAATTCCCATCCAATACAGATATATCGATGACTCAGAAGTTGAATTATTTGGTGTTTATGAGGTGATATTCGTATTATACCATACTGTACGCCGCGACTATTGGCACGGTGCCACGAATGAAACTTGTGTCAATTACACCACTCACATATAAAATTTTGTGTTTTTTAGTGATGACGATGGTGAAATGAAAGGATTTTCATTCGATCTGATAAGAGCAGGTAATTTTCTATCGACAAACCATAGTAATATGTATGATATATTAAACCAGTTAATCGTCAAGTTTATCCTTTGCAATAGAAAGATAGATTCGTAGCTCAATTGATCTCGACACGTGTACATTGAGTATGGTCACATGACACTCGGTAATAGCATCCATAATTGCTGTATGGTCCGATCGTCTGATTCTGATCAGCGGATGTAAAGTACTGGCGAACAAAGCGCATTAGTGGCTAGACAGAGATGTACGTGCAGAAATCCGAAACGTGTTCCAATGCTTGTATGAACCTGCCTGTCTACGAGTGTGCGAGATGTGAAACAATGTGACAAGTTCACTCAAGGAGGTCATTTGAAAAAAAAACGATTTTTTGTCGAATTTCTTAATATATATTTCATCCCACCACATCGATTAGTTTGTACACATTTTATCAATTAAATGTCAACATTACTAAAGTTGAAATGCTAGTTATTTGTTTGTTTGTTTTTCTAAAAAATGATTTCCTCTAATCATTTCAGTATGTGAAGAAGCTGGCAAACAGTGCAGAGTACAGTACGACACAAGCACTAACTGTGTATCCCACGATGGAAACCATCCAGTTGCTGGAGAAGGTAAAGTACACATTATTATGTCCAATCAACTAAAAATATTTAGAGAGAAAAACAAAGTAAAAATAAAAAAACACGAGAATGTGCATATTCGAGTAGGATCACCGTTTTAGTTTTTTCTTTATCAGGTCTTATGGGGAAACACTACGATGCATGCGAAGGTTGGGTGAAGACAACCCACCGTGAGCATATCCTTGGATTCACCAAGCCATACTGGAAAGACGTTGCTTCATCGTCATTTTACATCAAACCAGAAAACCCAACCGGTTTTGATCCAGCAGACATCACTGATAAGAAGATTGGTGGGTATATTGTATTCAGTCATCGATATAGTTTGGTTGTTTTATTACATGTATATTTTACTAAGTTCAAGATATCAACTTATTGATTTTAGTTAAGATTCTTCTATTTTATTTTAAGACTATTCATTGATGCTCAAATACTGCCGTGAAGCAAACCAATTAAATGCTCAATTGTGGATGTAAAAAAACTCAATTATTCTTAATTAAGCAATTAGTTTTCTCTTGTGTATTTCTTATAATATTATAAATCAATAGAAAATATGCGCTGGTGCATTAATAATGTTTAAATATACATACATTTCTTTGTTGGTGCAGTAATCAATACGAACAGTGACGTCGTCACTCATTGATATCTGAAATATAAGCATATTCCATAACAAATGTTAAGCATATTATTCCTGCAGTTTTGGCAGTGGCGGACAATAATATTTTTTAGCAGTTATTTTTAATATTTTCAGAACGAAAAATAATGAAATCTATAAATATATGAACATACAACGCAATCTAGTACTGCCCCTAAACGTTTCCTCGAATTAACAAATTACTATGTTTTAAGTGTTAAGAGAGATGCTTTGATCCTAAACAACAAATTTATCGTATGTATTTGGTGTAAATGATTTGTTTTACGTAATAATGTTGACCTAACAAATGGTTTATTCTGAAGTTGCTTAAAATAATAATAAAAACATAAAAATATTTCTAAAATTATAATTTTAAGAGCCTTCAAATTTAAAAAGTTTGATGCGAACAATATAGTTACTGGGTGACTGAAATATATATTGCATTAATATTGCATTAATACAGTGAAGTCTTGATTCTTGATTAAATTTTCAACTTATTTTTTTATCCCGTCTTCAAAACAGGTTTCATGAGTGGATGGGTCGGCGATCATTCGTGTCTCACAGACATAACAGGATACTCAAGTTCAACAGACAACTATGTTTACTTCAAAGACAGAAAGGCAATTTTGGATGCTCTTGAGGCAGAGGAGGTGGGTAATATACATATGTCACATAAAACAAGATTTAATAAAACACAATTGTGTAATTGATTGCACCGGACAAGACCAGATAGGCAGAACATGTTATTAATTGTTCGTATACTATCATGTACATTTCAGGTGAGCGCAATATTCCTCCTAGACCAGTATGCTAACAATGCACTACAGAAGGGATATGTAACCATTGGGGAGAGCAGAAATTGTGCTGGCTCAGGAGATCAACATATGATAACACGTAAAGACAATGATCTTAGCACATGGTGGGACGAGGCACTAACAAGCATGATGGAAAGTGGCAAGTACTATGCTGTATGCAACAAGGCTAGAGTTGACCATGGTAAGTGTACATACATCATCGAGGTTGACAACCAATCAGATACGCGAATTCACAATACGTCACGATTAAGCGTTTAACCTCTCTATTGTTTTATTTTCGCGTTTTATTGTTTTATTTGTGTTATATTTCAGCAGTTACAATTTTCTGTGCAACTAGATGACATCAAACGTGGGTCCCATGTTACCAAATAGGTGTTATCAGCCAGCTTCGTGAGGTACCACTTAATTGTGCATGACATCAACAAATATACACAACTATCACTTAAATCAGTGCAATATTTGAATCCATAGACATCACGACTTTTTTTTTTCTTTTTTCAGGACATATGGGAGAGGTACAATGCATCACTGACTATTAGGAAATTTTTTTACGAACTGGACCATATGAAATTCGGCAAAATGAAATTACGATTTGATGTAACGATATTCAAATTTATTGTGATAAGAGTTGAATAAACAAAATACATTATACAAATATAATTTTCATTAATATGCGTTTGTTTGTGTGAAATCAATATATAATGTAATATATTGCGTATAATATTACATTCAATAAATTAAAGCATGTTTATAAATATCAATAGTGTCACCTATGTTCGAAATACTGTCGGCAAAACTTGTCTGATTCTCTTCAAATTGGCATTATCAATATTATGAATGACTGGATGTTCACTGGATGTCAGCGACTTGCACTAATAAGAGACAAAGCATGCTTTACTGGATATATTTCCTCGCTGCAAACTTTGAAACGGCTGGCCTGAAAGTTCCGGGGTGTTATTTGGTGGAGTTGTAAAGCAAGTGTGGTCATAGCTTCTGAGTGGTCTGTGACGATGGTGGAAATTAGAGAATGGTTTGTTCATGGAGGAAATTGTGTTGTAATTGAATTAAAGCAATCAGTATATAAGTAATTAAAACCACGAGACATCGTAGAGTTGTTTCAGGATACACCCTCACAACACTCACTCTGTTATAATTTAAATGGTTTATTAGGCTCCAATTTAATTCAACTGTTACCAATATGTCGGCCAATACTTTTTAAGGTTAATATGTTTCGCAATTTGTACATACGAAAACGAATAATAATTATATAATCATAGAGACCAGCAATGTACATCAATCTACAGGCAATGCGGAGAAACGGTCATATTCACAATCCATCCAGATAGTTATCCCGTGATAGTCGTATCAGTGCCATCAGTGTGTTCCCTCGTTTGTGCTGGTACGTGTCTTTTTTCATGATAACGGCCGTGCCGTGTACTATCTGATATATCCGCCGTTGTCAAGGTATGTACAGGTACCTAAAATAGTCAGGTCACAAGAGATACTATCTATTGGTACATTTGACCCTTGGACAGTCAGTTATCATCGGATATCGTCTCATGGACAAGCACACTGATCTCGACATCTGTGCCCTAGATATCACTATCATATCATTTATCTGGCATAGGAGTTAGGCAAACTGAAATTGGTTGATTGTTTGATTGGTCTGATTGATCAGACAATCTCTGATTTTCCCCGTCCTTGTACATGGCCAACGACCACCATAAAGTTGCAAGTACGATCTTCTAGTTGCAGTTTAAGTGAAGTGGTCAACAACTGACGAAAATTCTGTTTGAAAACATTCGGTAACATGAAAGTATCTTGACATAATAATAGTCATACCAACCAACATATATTGATGAAATAAATTAAGTTTAAATTATTCTCGTTGATGACCTCGTTAAGGTGGCAAGTGTTGCAAGGTTAGTTGGATTAGAATAATGCTGAAGAAGCAAAATATCTGATAAGACAGGTATATTGCCAATAAATTATCAAAGCTGACTTCATAGTGAACTATAATTATAACTATAATTTTTGAATTGAATGAACTAGTAGTGTGTAGGGAAAATTTGCTTGATTTTTTTATTGCGAAATCTTGACAAGTATCTTCTGCATGGATATCTGTCAAACACTGTAATATATACAAACTAACGTGTGAAGTTGTACAGTGGTCGTAATTAGAATATTGTTATGAAGTTAAATACAAGCTTACACATAATGTTTGAATTGATAATATTTTTCACTGCGTATTTCAGTTGAAAATCCATTGAAATTGCAAAATATTGGTGAGCGAGTTCGCTTCGATTCATATAGTAACATATAAATTTTAATATAATATAATGCTAAAAAATCTTATTAAGGTTAAAGATAGGGAAAATATACCGACCATGTTCAGTCGGAGGTAAATACACAGTTGATTAACAGCAAAGTATTTTGATATAGCCAAGTAATGAAAAATAGTCATGGCCTTGGTTTGAACCCCCTCTTGATATATAATGGTCCGTCCCTTGGGATTTTTTTCATCCTGAATATAATGAGACGTGCTAAATATCCTATTCCGTCCTTGTTTAGTAAATTAATAATAATCATTCATTAGAGTAAATTATTTGTTTGCTACATCTTGTTTACCTTGTTATAATGCGACTGACCCCGTAATGTCATTGACACTGGTCTGGCCTCATTAGAGCTTGCGATACATCAATCGACAAAGAGTGTTCTTTATTAGCGCAAAGAGCAGAGCAAACTATGGCACGATTGGTTATAGAAGGACTACTTTTACTCGCAGTCTTTGTACAATGTAAGTACATTATATTATGTTGTGAATCTTGTCATACAGTGCAAGCACGATGTATTGTTGGGATGCTAATCAAATTACGCTGTTTGCAATCCGTCGTACAGCCGAGCAGTATAGCGCTAACACCACATGTTAATGTGTTGCTGTATGCATCCTGTGTTGCTATATTGAGTTGCCCTGTCACATTCGCGACAACTTTAGTTGCATGACGTGTATATCCGATTCACAATTTTTATCAACAGATAATAATGATGGATGTTTTTTTTATAAGTTGCCCATCTTACCGATTTATTAGGCGGTGGTACTTCCGATGACCGGGGATCAGATACACCCAATTACGCACGGACATATTTCGAACTGTTTTTGAATGGCATATCCAGTGATGAAGATAACCCTTTCAACTCATTATCGCTGCCACGAACAGATTATCTATCGCAAGCGGAAACACGTGCAATTCCAGCTAGATATGCCTCCCAGGTAAAGAAAGTTTTTAAACATTGTTAATGCTATATATAAGATAATATCTTCGTACGAAAACTCGGCATGCTTTCAGGGATATATAAAATCCGAGGGCATTATCTGACTTGTATACTTTTGGAAGAAATTTAATGAGTCACGTAAATGAAATGTAATGCGAAGAGGGGACCATGCCCCTATTTTCAAATGGAATATGCTATAAAAGTTCAAGTTATTTTACGAAACGCGCAAATGCAGTAAACGCGTATTTGGGCGGTAACTTTTCAGAATTTGTGATCGTGGCAGGCGGGCATTATACGCATGATCTGCATAATGATCAACGTATGAATATTCATGATGTAACTCGAATACGGTCCAATGCCACGTTTACAACTCGGGCAAAAAAATAAATTGCTTGTTTGCACCTTGTGACTACTGTGGCGTTTCAATGCTATATATTGCGAACTATCAACTTACCCTTTCGCTTATTAGTCCCCGTTCGGACGCAGTCCGAAAACGGGGACTTATGTTTTGCCCTGTGTGCGTCCGTGCGTCCGTGCGTCCGTGCGTCCGTGCGTCCGTGATCACCTGTATCTCGAACATGCATGGACCGATTAAGTTCAAACTTCACTCATACATCACACCTTATATGGGACATATGCACATGCATTTTTTTCATGATCCGATTAACGATAGCCGAATAGCGGCCATTTTAAGGCCGAAAATGCATCAAAA